GATTAACTAGTGTTGATCTTGGGTTGAATCAGTGGTGATTATGCATTGATTCCTATAATTTGAAATTTGAAATTGCGAAAATTATGAAAATTTTGAAATATTGAAAAATTAAATAATTATTTGTAAACTTGTTTAATGCTGATGTTTCTCGCTTTAAAATATTAAAAAATTAGATAATTATTTGCAAACTTGTTTAATGATTATGTGTCTCACTTTGAAATATTAAAAAATTAGATAATTTGCAAATTTGTTTAATGATGATGTGTCTCGCTTTAAAATATTAAAAAATTAGATAATTATTTGCAAACTTGTTTAATACTGATGTGTTTCGATACAATTTTATAAAAAGAAAGTTTTTATCACGATTTTATTTTTTTTTAATTATCAAATATTTTCTTAATTTCTAAAAATGCTTAACACTATTGAATGGTCTGAAAAAAAATATAACTTTTGATCAATTTAAGAAGAGAGAAAATGAAGATTATTGGAGAAGATTCAGTAGGTTGAAGTTACCATTTTAGAATAAAATTGCAGCATAGATCGAAATAAATTTGGAGACAGCTTTTATTGGTATGCAGGCTAGGGACAAGTTTAAAGGGATGATCAAGAATTGTAAAGTAAGTAAATTCATGTAAAAAAAGGAGATTAATTATATTTAAAAAAAATATATAAATTATTAATTTTAATTTTTTAGTTATTTCAAAGGTATGCTGAAGGGAAATATGGTAGAAGATAGACACATGTAGAGAAGTATTTGGCAAGCAATTTGAAGATAAATTTTGGGAGAGACCTGGTTAGCATAGTAAACCTTCTAATTGATATTGATAGAAGAGAACCATTATTAAATTCAGTATTTTTATTTTTTTTTTTTAGCATCTCGTGTAGAAGAAAGAAGGTAAGATTTGTTAAGAAATCAAGATAAGAAATTTATTTGATTATATTATTCTAATCTATACTTAATTATTTACAATATATATTTTAGAATCATCAACTCCTAATCATCCTCCTAACCATCCTCCTCCTTCACGTCACTCTCAATCTCCCGCTAATTCCAACCAATTCGATTCTAACGCCCCTCCATTACATCCCAACATACAAATATCACAATAATCCTTTTCATTCAACTATTGTCTCTCCTTCTTTTATCCATTACATTATCTTAATTTTGGTTTTTTTTTGTAAACTTTTTTTCCGAATGAAAAAAAAAACTGAACGTGGTGGTGTTCAGGATCAACAGTTATAGGTTAAACCATATCTGGCCAAGAGCAAGCATATATCGTAATAAACTTTAAATAGAAATATCAACCACCGCCCAACCATATGAGTCACATGCACTTAAGGAAGGTGTTACCGTTCTGTGATTTGGCGCAGTCGTTATAAAGTTATTAATCGTCTTGTATCGTACAGCATACAAGCATTCTATATAATTTATATTCCTGTTACAAAATATTCCCGTAATATAATACCCCCGGGTTTATAATATCCTACCATTAAATGTACCCGGGGTATTTAGGCAGTAGATGATCAGCGATCACGGGAGTCATGTTGATTCAAATTTATTAATTGCGAAAATTAAACTTTTAGCTACACGTTTAAAAAAAACTACCCGAAAATAAGCAACATTATAACAAATATGTTGCTTATTTTCGGAGGAATATGGTAATTAATTTTTCTTTTATATACTAATTTTAAACTACTTGTCTTAAGATCTGTTATATTCCAAATCGCCAACATTCATGGACATCAAAATCACTCCATTCCTAAAATCAATGCTTTGATAACACCGTCTTTTCCTTCTTTAACTGTTTCAAAAGCCTTTACAGCATTTTGGAACTTAAATCTATGAGTTATAAGAGGCTTTAAATTAATTAGTCCGGCGCTAACTAAATGTACAGCCTTTTCATAAGTATTACAATAACGAAATGATCCCCTAAATTTAATCTCACGGACTATAATATCAATCATTGGAATTGACGAAACATCCTTACCCATTCCAATTTGCACAAAAGTTCCTCCCGATTTAGTCATCTAAAATCAAAGAAAAGGTTTTAAACGAAATTTTAGCAAATTTTTTTTTTTTTTTGATATATTAATTGGTACTTACATAAATACCAGTTTGAATAGAAGTTTCAGCTCCGGAACATTCTAACACAACATCAGCTCGTTCAACACCCGATTCCAATAATTTTTGTGAAAACAATTTAGAAAAATCAATTGAACTTAAACCTTGAGGAACAATACTTTCTGCTAATATAATTTCATTGGCTACATAGCTTTTTGCAAAATTTAACCTAGATTGATTTATATCAACCATTGTGATTTTAATCGCTCCCGATGCTTTTGCTACAGCTCCTGCTAATAATCCAACGGGTCCGGCTCCAAATATCATTACTTTCTGTCCTACTTTAAGTTCCGCTAATTTACATGCGTGAACTCCAACCGATAACGGTTCAATTAATGCTGCTTCTTCTAATGATGGAAAATTATCTGGCAATCTTACACAAAAATCTTCTGGACAACAATAATATTGGCAAAGTGTACCTTATGATTTACAAGAATAGAAAAAAAAATATGATGATTTTAATTATATAATAAAAAATTTTAATATATTATTAAAGGTAATTACCATTAACTGGCGGAGTTGCTGCAAATCGCATATCTTTACACAAATTATATCGACCATTTTTACAAAAAAGACAAGTATAACAAGGTGTGCCGGGTTCAATTGCAACTCGATCACCAACTTTTAAAGTTTTACAGTCTCTTCCGACATTTGTCACAATGCCAGAAGATTCATGACCTAAAACCATTGGTTCCCTTACTACAAAATCACCAATGTGACCATGAACCCAATAATGAACTATATTCAAAGCAACATTTATTTAATAAATAAAAGGTACGAAAAATTGGATAAACCAATTAAAATAGAGTTTAATACCGTCAGAACCGCAAATTCCGGTTGCTTTGACATCGATTTCAATTTCATTAGATTTTGGTGCAGTTCGCAGACGATTTTCGGTCTGTATATCACCAACTTGTTGAAGAACCCATGAAATATTTGAATTTTCTTGTAACATCTAAATGCCAAAAAAGAAAATAACTCGTGTGAAGAGTTAATGGAATTAGGGAATTAGGCGTTGAAGATAACCATACCTAACGTAACACAAGATTGACGACAAAAAATTTTTAAGCCACCAAATCTACTAAATATTACTACGAATCTGATTATTTTCCAAGTCCTGAAGAATGAATTATCAGATTTTCAAACTTTTGCATGCAATACGTCAACGTTCTTTTAAAAGACCAAGTATGTTGGTGCGTTTCGTTTATGGTACTTATTCTTACTCAATTCAGAAAAGGATAATTTATGTACACCTTGATAGGTTCGGCAACGAGCATTCGCTCATTAAGTACCTCTACAATAATACAACCCGAATCACGGTTTTACGGTCAACCGACGGCGGAAACTCATCCACATTTAATGAAGCCCGGTGAAAGTAAATTTTTTAAGAGCTATCATTTAACTTAATATCGGCAATTTTCCTTTCAATAATTGCAATTTTTCACTTCTTAAAATTGGAAGCAACACCCGGGATATCAGCCGTCGAGTATGAGTTACGAAGAACAAAGCTAATGAATAAGCTTCCGGAAAATAGTGTTGCCATATCATTGGGATATCGAACAAGATACATGTCAAACAAAGTATTGTTCGTATATTATAGTATTATAGTAAACTTTAAGAGAATATCGAATTTTCTTTTTGTAATGAATTTATATTTAAATTTACAGATTCGATCATAAGCAGATCAAAATATAACCTTTTTTATACATTTTTTTATTCATAATCACATTGTTTGTTACTCTTTTGTTATCTTAGTTATCCATTCCATCAGAATACAGACTTCTTTTATTTATGTGGTACGAGTTATTTTTTGTTTAAATTATTATATAGAAGTACTTGGCTTAATAATAAATATATATTGCTTTTAGGTTTTAATGAACCAGACGCGGCTATGGTCTTAGGTACTTTTTTTTTTCTTTTTTGACATGTATCATACATTCAATGATTTTAAAGATTTCTTTTATTCTTGCGCAAAATGTAAGAAAAGAATAACAGTCAAAGGGGTTATAAAATGACAATGTTTGTACCGCCAAAAAATCGAAGTGTAGAAATCTGGGATGGCCCTAGAACAGGTCTGTTAGGTGCCGTATATATATTTGGTGCAGACGAGGTATGATGAGCCATATTGAATTATCATTATAATTATGTAATTCAATTAACATATGATGAATCGTCGCGTCTTTTCCATAATGATAGGCTATGGAATCGTCTAGATTCAATTCAAAAATTAAAGAAATCGCAAAGAATTACAAAGACGTGTACATTGACCTCCCTCCACGAACAAACATTCTTTCAAGTGAAAGTATTTCGAAGAGCATTAGCCGAACTCATGGTATTCCTTCGTTATATACACTTTCTTGCGGGTTTAAATGTATTCGAGATTATCTCGATAGATTAATTCGCCCTCATCGTCTCTCTGTCTCTAATATTTTTGGTTTTCAAGTGAAACCATTGAGTCGTATAGTTCAAGAATTGAGAATTATCAAGAGCGATGCCGAAATTTCATTAATGAAGAAGGGTGGACAGATAACCGGCAAAGCATTCATAGAGGTATATATGATCCTTGATTTTGTTCTTTTTCATAATTCAAATATAACTAATTTTTTTTGTTTAACTTATAAATATTATTTGATTTTAGACAATGAACTTTACAAAACCCGGTTTGTCTGAACATGACTTATCCGCCAAAGTTGAGTTTGAATGCCGGATTCGTGGAGCGCAGTATCTTGCATACGTCCCGGTAGTTGCTGGAGGTATTAATGCCTTAACGATGCATTATGTAAGAAATGATATGCCTTTGCGGTATGTCACTTGGAATTTTTTTTATTAAAAAAAAAATAAATAAAAAATAATCCGCATTTAGGGTATTCATATTCTTTTTTTTATTATAATTTTTATAATTTAGCAACGGTGATTTGATATTAATGGACGCGGGTGGAGTAAGTATTTCGCATCGTGAAGAATGTATGATATTTTTTAAATATCTTTAGTTTTTTAATCATTTGTTAATAGGAATACCATGGATATGCTAGTGATGTTACGCGAACTTGGCCAATAAATGGTAAATTTTCGCCACCTCAACGCGAACTTTATGAGGCCGTGCTGAATGTCAATAGAAAATGTATAAAGGTATAATAAACACCTTTTTAAGTTGGACTTTCCTTTCATTATGATATATGCATTAAATTTATTTTTTTTCAATTGTAAAATAGCTTTGTACCGAAAAGCAAAACATTTCATTAAATGGTGTACACGAGCAATCTGTCCAATTCATGAAAGAGGAACTATCAAATCTTGGATTCAATCTTGTAGAAGGGGTATATAATTCATTAATTATAGATTTCTCTTGATTTATTTATTTTAAATTTTTTTTTATGATTTAGGACGTGGATCGAGTATTATATCCTCACCATGTTGGACATTATCTTGGATTAGATGTTCACGATACGCATGACTTGGATCGTTCACGATCACTGAAAAGTGGAATGGTGTTAACTATAGGTAAATGACGCATTGTGTTGATTTATTTGGGATTCTTTTTTTTTGTTCTTAGTTCTGATTTTCAATTTCTTTAGAACCTGGAATTTATATTCCCCCTAATAATGCTTACCCAAAGCAATATCATAGTATTGGAGTTCGTATAGAGGATGATGTGTTAGTTGGTGAAACGGATCCATATGTATTAAGTTCAACAGCGCCAAAAGAAATCGATGATATTGAATATTGTATGGAAAACTAAATTAATTAGAATGAAGTCATTAAAATCATACCATAACAATAATTTTATAGATTGCATATTTGTTTCCTAAACAAAAAAAAAATTATATTTAATACAGATTATCATATTTCTAATACACGCAATTTGATTTAATAAAAGAGAATGAATATAATGATCATATGATATGTGAACGATTAGATAACACTATGTAATTATGTTAACAGAATCTCGGGTATATAACACACATTCAAGAAAAGAAACAATTTATTAAGATAATGAAATCTTTAATTAAATATGCATTGTTTATTCATGATGACCAATGTTTGCCAGAAATAAGGTTACTCATCTAGTTTAAGAACCTTACGTTAATGGAAGACAAATCTTTATGTTTACAAAATAATTCCCATATATCCAATGTTCATATTATAACACTTTAATCAAGATTTTACATTGAAGCATATATATATATAGGGATGTTGCGGACTATCTCCTTTCGAATTTTCATTTAAAAAAAATTCTTTTATTCAAGAGGCTAAATGCTACGTTTCAATAAAAAGTACAGCAGTAGGGCAAAGAGTATATAAAAATAAGGCGTTGAAGAGTACCATCTGAGTCATTAGCAGACCGTATGGTAATGAATTTTTCCCGTCCTTCAACTTAAAACCTAGAGGACGCTTGCGCAGTGATTGTGTTTTAAAAACGTCCGCGGAATACAAGCGAATAACACGGAGTTTTTTCCGCTCGAGTAAACCCTGCGCTTTGAAATGTGAAAAATGAAAAAATGGTCGTTTTCCAGTGAGTTGTTGGTGTAACCGTTATCGTGAAAGAAGTTATCGAAGATGATGAATCTAAAGAAAAAGTGTGAGAAAAAAAAATTAAATTGGAAAGAGAAAAAGTGGAAAAACCCATCTACATGGGATATTGAACATCAATAACTGCAACTTATAATATTTCGATCTACTGACCAAGTATAATAAATGAGATGAAGTTTTTTTATATAAAGAATTTTTATAATAAATTTAAGGGATATAGCGAATTCTTTTTCTTGTATTACTATTAAAGGAAATTTTACAGTCAGTAAAATTTTAATAAAGTATAAATTAACAATTTAAATATTCGAAAAGAACTTAATTTTTTTGATCAATCATTTATTAAAATGCCCAAAAATTAAACCGAACCAGAGCTTCGCTTACAGGTACCCAAAAACAGGAAATTTGTTTAAAAAAGTTGCAGAAACCAAAGCCTAAAAATAAAGATCTTTCCCTAGAATTTAATGTTTCAGAAGAAATGATATGTGATATTTTAAAAGAAAGTGAAAATAGATAGCTATAAAATCGGAATCTTATGAAGCTTTGGTTAAAAGACAAATTAAACTAAATTTTCCACAAATTGAAGAAGCGTTAAGTTTTTGGGTTGAAAAAGCTGTAGATAATAATATTACTATTAGTGGTAAATTATTATTACAAAAAGCAAGAAATTTTACAACATTACTTGATATACAAGTCTTCAAAGGATCAAATAGATGGTTAACAGGTTTCAAAAATCATCATAATATTGAATGTTACTTGAGACATAGAAAGGCTGCAAATGCTCCTTTATAAGATTTAGATGATATGCATAAAAATCTTCAAAATATTCTTAAAGATTATTCACCTAATGATATATTTAATGTGGATGAAACTGGACTTTATTGGAAAATGAAACCAAATCGGACTTTATCTACTGGACCAGGTAAAAATTAATGTTAATTGATGATATAAATTAATATAAATAATTATATAAATTTAAAATAATACTTATATTAGTTGCAGGTCAGAAATAATCTAAAGAATGTGTTACTGTTATATTGTGTTATAATGCTTCAAAAACTGAAAAAGCTAAGGCAGTTTTCATTGAAAAAAATCAAAATCTGTGTATCTTAAACATATTCCAAAACCATCACTACCTGTACATTATTATTAGAATAAAACAGCTTATATACAAGTTAATATCTGGAATGATTGGTTAAAACTTTTTGATATACATCTAAGACTTCAGAATCATCATATAATCTTACTTTATGGTGGTGCATCTACTCATATCTTATATGAGAATACCATATTCTCTAATATTTGTCTTCATAAATTACCTCCTAATACAACTGCATATCTCCAACCTTATGATGCTAGAATTATTAAAAGTTTTAAAACACATTATCAGAAGTTATTTTTACAAAATCATATTAAAGCATTTGATAATAATCAAGAAACAGGTCAACCTATAACTGAAATTACA